AATTCTAGCTAATATAGTTGATTAGTAAGGATATTTTAGGAAAGACAACACCTATTTATTACAAATAATTAACTTAATTTCTTTCCTTAATCTCTTCAAATTAGTCAACTGGGTTTTATAATTAAGACCGGAGGTAGTAGCTCATTTGACTTTTAATTTAATCATAAACATAAGATTTCAATCTATTTTGTCTCTCATGTTTATCCATATTTTAAAGTAGTGCTTCTAGTAGTTGCATATGTTAAAAATTTTATTAAATGGTACATGATTATTAAAACTATTTTAGAAAATATAACACATATTTAATATAAATAACTAATTTAACAAATTTTTTTAATCTATTTAAATTAATTAATTAGTTTTTATTTAAGATCCAGAGGAAGTACGAAATTAAAGTGAGCTGCGCTGGACATTGATCTTATTCATTGAAGAGAGTTCGAAGAATAAACTGTATATAATCAATAAATAGAGCAGTACGTAGTTTAACTTGTTAAAGTTTTACATTTGGTACTGGCAGTGATGATTGATGTATATACTTTGCGGAAATCCCAGAGAAGAGAACATGATCCGGCAAGAATCCTAATCTTGCATGGGAAGTGTCAAAATAAGGCAAAAGTGTGTACTGTAAAGCATTTTTTCCCCGTGACTAAACTATTCATGAGATACGAGGTCTAAACTGTGCTGAGTGACAACATACACTGTACACAGTCCTAAAATCCTTATTGAGTAATTTGTACTCTGAAATGGGACCTATGAATAGGTGACAATGTTAGGCTGTTGAGGATAATAGCATAATTGGATTAGGCTCATCGAGACGAGAAATTAAAGAAGGAGCAATGACACACGACATAACTGAAATAATCAGGTAAGCCAGTTGCATGGTGATACTTTTGATTCAGAAATATTTGCAAGCCTTTTTTCCCTCTGTCTTGACACATTTATTAATCTCTGAACTTTACATCCTTTATCTCTTATTATAAGATTTAATATTTTGACTGGGTTTGTCTACTTTTATAAGATGCTTTGTAAGTTTGTCTAAACATTTAATAGTATTACCTATTTTACCCCTAGTTTAATGTATTTAATATATTCTCTTTCTTCATTTATCTTATTATTACTCTCTCACATCTATCTATTTATATATTTGAAAAAAATATATTTACTACATATTAATTATTTTAACCTATTTTAACTATTTTTTTAAACCATGTAATTTAGTTAAAACGATCTTATAATAAGAGACAAAGTAGCATATATTGGCCAAATACAAAAATCTCTGCGTAACTTTGAAAGTGGGATCTGGGAAAGGAACATATATTTGCAGCAGTGACAAGCTAAGCGACATCCTTGTGATAGATCAGATGGACATGGAAAAAAAAGGGTAAAAATATAACCCCTCGCACTATTTTCCTTGTTATATTATTTTAGGAAAATAGAAGCAAGGTCACTTGAATGTGATCGAAAGCCTGTGAAATGAAAGCCTTCGCCATCTTGAGTTAGAGGAGGAAACACCTGGTGCTGGAGGCTTTCTAAATTGTGTGACAAATAAATGAATAGTAGCTCTCAGTCATGGATTCTCCTGACCCAGGCTGTGTCAAGAAAAAGTGATCTCTGTATGTGACGTTAACTCCTTATTGTGTGTGTGTGCATTGCATTTGTAATTGATAAAATAGCAAACAATTTACGGACCAGTTCTTAGAATATTCTCCAATCAACAGTCCAAATGGATAAGAACAAAATCCTGGAGGAGTTTGGCGATAAGAAGTCATAAAAGGCCGAGACTGGCTGGTCCTTAACGATTTGGCGGAGGCACTTTCCTTTTTTTTCTTTCGAGTTTTGCTGTTGCAGATTTGGGCTTCAAGGTCGTATTGGGTTCTCCCCTGAACTCGAAAACTCGAATGTAAAATGAACTGGTGATGTTGCATGAGGTACGATGCTCCCAAGCGTTTCGTGGTGAGGAGTTATGAGTTCGAATTACGCTGTGATGGTCTTGTTAATATACTATCTATAAGTATATTTTGAGTCTGAAAGTATTTATGCCTTGCTCCCGGTAAGTTTTTAAGACCCAATTTATCTAAAATTTTTTACATAAAAAAATAAATACTAGATACAAATCTATACGTGAGGTCATCATTGAGTTTTTTTTTTTAATTAGCAAAATAATTATGTGCGTTTATAAATTAATAAACCCTGAATGTTAATCTTGATATGACTAAAAGAGGTCAGGCCTTTTTTTTTCGGTGGGGGGGGGGGGGGGTTTGGGGGGGTGGGGGTTTGGCCTCTTTACTACCATCCTAAAAAGATTTTTCTTCCCTGCCAGCCTAGCTGATATCTGGTTGCCAAGAAAACCAAGACTTGCAACCTGACACGTGTTCAGATCCCCAGATTTAAATTCTCCTGATTTAAAGTATTACTTACTATCAGTATTTAGTATAAAAACTAATTTAACTTTTAATTCAGTCATAAATATAATTCTCTTATCTATTTTGTCTTCTATATTTATTTATTGTTTTCAAAATAGTTTTTATAGTAATTGCACATGTTAAAGATTTCATCAAATGGTAGTTCTAACTAATACATTTGACTGACAAGAGTATTTTAAGAAAGAAAACGCCTATTATTACAGATAACTAACTTAGCAAAATTTCTTAATCTACTCAAATTAGTCAACCAGCTCTTATATTAAGGACCAGAAGTATCATATTAGTAGTACTACCTCCATTCCTTATTACAAGAGTTTGTCTGACTTTCAATTTGATCTTAAATATAAGAGATATCAACTAGATTTTATATTAGGGATAAGAGATAGTATATTATGTGAAGACCTCAAGGTCAAAAAAATATTATACGAACACCATTTTCAGTATTAACTTGACATTTTCAAAAAAATATTGTATGAGGGGAGAGGAATCTACTGTACATGCTCTAAGAGACTGTGGCTACATACTGTTGTAATATTTTTTGGGTGTGTCAAAGAAAGGATCCTGCATTAATTGGGAATATGGGAAGACAAAAATAAATAGCATTAATCATGGACATATTTTCTTATTATTATTATGAATAGGAAAATCAAATGTAGAAGAGTTTTAAATGGATTTCCAATGCATTTAAAGATTTAAAAGTGGCCCATTAAAATCCTTTAATGCATTGAAGCATTTAAATTATTCAACGGAAATTTTTTATGATTATCCAACGCCTTGAAACGCTTGATATCTAGGTGCTTTAAACATGTTTTAATGTATTAAATGATGGCTATGAATTTCAAAATGGAGTAACGTCTGAAATGTTTGAAGTGTTGGTGCGGTTTTATTCCTTTTAATATATTAAACAATGATTATGAAATACAAAACGGAAGCTTTATCTCTTTGCCTCCAACCGTTCACATTATGCAATTAAATCATTTAATGTGCAACGTTCAAAACTGAAATTTGATTAGCTTTAAGAGGCAAGCAATATTCAGATCATGGAGGCCTATAAAAAGGTGCTCTGGTCTAAGGTTCAGAACACACAGCTCTAGAGTTTTCGAGCTCCTCTCTTCCCCCTCTTGTGTGTTCTCTTACCAGCTGAGTTTATTATTATCTTCTGCTGTTTTGCTCACCTTGTTATATAGGAAGGATCCGTTTAATTCTGGGGAGTGCTGCATCCTTATCTACCGGTGGTTGCGGAATAGCTCTTAAGAACAGCATCCTTAGGACGTGACTCGGATTAACTATTTATTTTGTAGGTGCTGCTGCCAACACATACAACAAGTGTGGTGTAATGTGATGCCTTGTGACCGGTGGGATAAATTCCTCGTGCCTACCAACACTCAGGACTGGGGTCAAATGGAGCCTGAATCAACACTCCCATGTCTGGGGATTGAGTTTCGGGATCTATTCGCAGTAATGTGTCGTCATACTTGGTTGGGTTGTAATGAGATGATTTTTCAAAACAGAGGATGGAATGCTGAGACTGTAATAGCCCTTTTGTGTGCTGTTCTCTGTTGGGGAAGGACAAACGATCTCCAATAGTATTGCAACACCATGACACCTGGAAGCCACCACCTGCAGATGTAGTAAAGTTTAATGTTGATGGTTTGAAGAGTTTTGACTCGAGCTCCTGCACGTGTGCTGGTGTGTTACGAGACTAGCATGGGGAATTTCTCCAAGGTTTCATGTATAAATTGAAGCACGATTCAAAGGTTACTGCTGAAGCTTGGGGCACACTGTGGGCTCTCAAACTTACTTGGGACAATGGGGTTCTTTTGCTCATTGTTGAGAGTGATTGCAAAGAGGTTTTAGACCTTATATACTCCAATGTTTTGGACGTCCATCCTGACCATGGTATTCTTCATGAAATCAAACACATGTTGGAGTGTGACTGGGACGTGGAACTTAGCTTATGCCACCGAGATGCAAACGCACTAGCTAGCATACTGGCAAAAGAGGCGTGGATGATGTGGACAAATTGGTGTTTCTTGACTGAGCTACTGGTTAAGTTTCGACCTTTTATGCAGAATGACAGGAGGAATGACTTGAGTAGTAATTAGTTTTGCTTTGTTGTTCCCTTTTACCGAAAAAAAAACTTGACATTTTCTTATATCTTGTTTTAAAAATTAAATGATACTGTTGATGATTTATTCTACTCACTAATTGATTTTAATCATGTGTAACATTGGTCTTAATATCAACCCTTTTTTGTTGGCCAAATCTTGAATGCAAATTATTATCTTCGATTCTAATTATAAGATATCATTTATAAAATATAAATAAAATCTTATAATTAGATCAGGAATAAAACTATAAATATATATTTCTCGAAAAAAAGATAGTCTCATTTCTCAACTCGCCTGTGCCTAGACATGGACGAAACCCTCTGGCCAGGGAAAAAACAAAAAACAAAAACAAAAGACGTGGACGAAGCTCGGGGAATACCAAATTTGGGTCAGGGCACGCTTAGAAGCGGCGTCGTGCGATTTGCCTAAGGGCTCAGCAGATCAATCAGGTCTTCCTTTCTAATCCTTTTTACGACACGTTTCCTTTTTCCCTCCGTTTCCTCTGACTGCAACTGCATCTACCGTCCTGGTCCAGCCAAAAAAATGGATCCTTCTTGTCGAACTTACCAACTCTAGGGTTTACTTTAGCGAACCGATCAAGGAGCTAACTTTCGGACAAATCTATCTCATTATTGCTTCAAGTATTTGCTCCATTTTTTAGCTCATGTTTCTTTGTTTTCGTGATTTCGTCTGCCTTTTCTTCCGCGTAACTTGTGATTTGATCTCTGTTTTTTTATCCCTTACGGTGCTTTCTGGATTGTGAATGGGTTAAGAAATTATCGTCTCTTCACGTTTCTGTTCATTTGAATTCGGTTCTTTCCTCTCTCTCTTTTTTTTATCCCCGAAGAATTCGAGATGATATTTAATTCCTTTTCTTTATTCTTTGATCGTTTCTTGTTGTTGGCGGCGGCGGTGATATTTAATTCCTGGAGATAATCTCCCGGCGTCGCTAATTACTGTTCACCAGGGAATCATAGAAAATTAAACAAATACATGATGGTTGATTTGAAATCAGTTATTCGATGTGACATGGTTTTTGCCTAATGATAGTGGTTGTTTAGATGAATATCATTTAACCTTATGGTGGCGCGAGGGAAGTCGTTAGTTCTATTCATTTTTTCCCTGGCCAACTTCTTCATTCTCATTTCGAGTGTATGCATTTAATAATTGTGAGGAGGGTGTGTGCCTTTAGAAAATCAAATTCGGATGGTGCAGTGGAAGTGCAGGGTTTCATGTAACACTCATCTTAATTTCTAGCTTTTAGAAAATCGGCAGAGCAAGTTTTTATATGCATATTCCAGACTTTGAATCCCATCCCCACCGTTATCATATGAGTTACTCTATGTGATGGCATTAGAGTGAGTTTGATATGGAATGTTTGTGACTGATGCTACTCTGAGTGCTCAGTAGTGTCACTGCTGCTCCTGCACGTCCTCTGCTTCCAAAGTAGGAAGATCCTAGTACAGTAATGTTTAATCAGTTTGTTTGGATGAATGTTGATCATACAATTATTAAACATTCATCCAAACAAACGTCCTCTACAGTAATGTTGGTCACTTCTAAATTATAAAAAAGAATATTTGGTTTATCTCCGCATGGTAATAGAATTAGGAAGGCGGGTAGATAAATTATCTCTTTGAGGAGAGATCTAACCCAATGGCTATTGCGAAGATTGTTGGCTAAGTGTTTGAGTAGTCACCAAATTTCTCATCTATGATGGGGAATATGTTGCTGTCATTCAATTTTTAAGGTTTCGGGGCGATCTGCTTATTGGTTTTAGAGTTTTCGGGAAATAATGCACATAGAGTCCTCATAAAGAGATATTATGCATTTTGTCATCTTAGACTGCTAGCATATAGAGTCCTGATAAAGAGATATTCCAGGCGGGTTCATCCAGAGTATTCATCAGGATTTGAGGGCTTTATTGTGTTGATTATTTGAATTTTTTATACTTAATACTTCATTACTTCATTTGTCTCACGTTATCTTCAAACTTGCAATTGACCCAGTTAGAAATAATTTCTTTTCATGGTAGGAGTCCTGTTTGAAAAATTCATACTATCTTCACTTGACCGTGTGATGCAGTAACGCAGTAACGATGTGCTATTTTTTTTCCTTGCCAAAAGTAACAATGTGCTATTAGTCTTATGACTGGCATTATTTTGGTGTTTATTAACGAGCTCTGTGAATTAAGTATTTATGCCTTGGCATATTTTGATAACCTTCTCACTCTTTTCTTATTACATTCTCAGGCAACTCTTAATGTTCAGATTCCTTAGTGCTGTGTGCCGAATTGATTCAGTGTGTTTCTATCTGTACTTGGGAACCAAAAATGGTGTCTGAGGAAGTTATGAAAGCTGTTTTTCCTTTACTAGATGGCGTTGATCTTGCTTCTTGTATGGTGGTATGTAAGCAGTGGAGAGACCTAGCTCGAGATGATTACTTTTGGAAATGTCTTTGTGCCAAGAGATGGCCTTCAATCTGCAAGAGACGTAATCCTCCTACTTCAAGCTACTACAAGTTATATCAAACCTTTTACAGACGCCAGCATCATAAACCTCTTCTCCCTCCAAGAATTTCCTTTGATGATTTGGAGTTCTTCATTGACATTTGGGCTGAAAATAGATTACTCTTCTCCGAAGTGGTGCCTGGCTCTGTCCTGCAGCAAGGAACTAAAATTTCACCATCTGGAGTTTGTGAAATGCTTAAATGTCACTTGGAGGGCTCTGAATTCAAGATGACATTACCTGTTGAGCCTAGGTTTAAAATACCTTTGAGCCAAACTGAGACAGTAAGCATCTCTGTATTGGTTGGGCGGAAGGATTCAAATAAGGTTGCTTATGTCATTAATAAGTCCATGTTTGATTACATTGATTGGTCGTTGTTCAGGGCCTCGGCATTTGAGTACCTGGACATTTCCCCTGCATACCGCTTTTTATCTGGCATCCGGGCATGGATCTCTTTGCTATTTATGGAAGATGGAGATGAGGGAGCGATGGATGTGTTTGGTATACAGTTAGATTTCTGTGATGTGGCAAACTCTAAGGAAGAAGTCTTGTGGCTATTGGACATGCTCGATTGGAAGTGAACGTTTTGAATTTCGATGAAGTATGATTGCAAAAAAATAAACTGGAAGCAGTGTATTTGTGTGATACCTGATTTTACTTTCGGCGTCGCATGATAGTGACGTCTTGTATGTTCATATTCTGTAAATGCTTTGTCTATTAATTGTTAATAAATACAATCTTTTCTGCGGATATTTCGGGGAAGTTCTAAGGGCTTCTCCTCCCTTGGTCACTAGTGAGGGCAGCGATTTGCATGTTTGGGAGCCTGGTTCATGCGCCTTAAAGTAACCCATTTGTGCATAAAATCAGCTGACTGTTCGGCTAACACGGGCAGTAGTGACAATTTTATTTTGAAAAATTAAATGATTACATTTTTTTTCTTTGACGTATTTTTCTCAATCCAAGCATGAAAAGTGGGGAAAATTGATCTAGTACTAGCATCTGTATGGATTAGAAGAAGACAGGTCACGTGCTTTGAAGTAAGATTTTGCTGGTGCAGGAATTATGTGTCATGATTCTCTTTCAGCATTTATTATCCTTCGCAATACAACGGTGAAGTGAAGAAATTGTACATTGTTCAAAGTACGTGTAAATGTAATCTCGTGTTTAGAAAAGTCTAGTTTTTCATTTTGTTTGCCTTTTCTTAATTTTTAATTTATTGATGGGCTGGGTTTTTATGATTGTCCGATGTGTGTTTTCCGATGCCTGAACTTGCAGTATAACTGTAGCGGTAACAGGCCAGCATCCCGGATTTGAAAGATGTGCGCGCGCATTTGCATTTTGAAAAAAATTCAAATAGTATTCTTCCTATCTTTAATATAAAATTTAATTATTAAGTTAATTTTGATCTTAAATATAATATATATTTCTTCTATTTATTAATTTTTTTAAATTATTATTTTGGATATTCTTTAACTATAATCAAGTAGAAGAAGGAATGAGGATATTAAGAAAAATGATTATGGTGTTTTAAAAAAAACATGTTGTATATTTTATAATTAACTAACTTACCTAACTTTTTTAATCTAATCAAATTAGTTAAATATGTCTTATATTAAGGATTAGAGGAGTATATTATTGATCAGATTTCTTTTAATCTCTTCACTGCACATCTTGCCCGTTGTTATCTAGTGTATCTGCTATCTGCCACATAAATATTAATTAGTATCCATTAATGTAGTTCAATGAACCAAGGGCCCTTGTATAAAACCAGTAAATGTATCTAGCTATCTATATATATATATCCATGGAATTATATTATACCTTGGCTACTTTTGAGACGTGTTTGAATATTTTAAAAGTACTTTTTTGCAAATTGAGACCAATTGTTTCACATATTTATTTCATATGCCATAAAATCACTTCTAAAATTATGATTTGGATGGCTTGTTTATCCTCTTAATTTGGACTGGGTTTGACAAGATTGAGAGGTTGGCAAGGCAAGTCATTTTAGTAGCTAGTGCTAAAAATATGGGTCAGGCATGCTTTGTAGGGTCATGGGTTTAAACAGGTCAAAAAATAAAAATAAAAGTCTCATTTTGCCAAGCCTAGCGCTGAGTCCTTAGGCTGCCAAGCATAAGGTTGGGCCATAAAGCTTTTGGCTTATTTAAGAAAAAAAATAATTTTTTACATTTCTATGTGTTTTATGAAAAAAATAAAAATAGATCAAGAAAATTATTAAGAAAAGGCATGGATGTGAATAAAATTAATTCACAAACACAAAATATCATCATATTTAAATATCCATCAATATTTAAAAACATCAAAACATCTATTAACAAGACAACAATATCTAAAAGTTTTATCAAGAATGCAAATATGTAATAGACAAACATTATCATTACTTTGTTATCACTGTCATCAATTATTCTTTTTTATGAGTTTACTCTTCTTTAATGGCAAAAGTTATGAAGTTTTTTTTTCTTCATAGAAATTTCACTTTGAAATTTTGCATTCTAGCTATTAATTGAACAAATTACTATACAAAACCAAATGAATCAAACCATTTTATGAGCTTTAATTTCAAAATAATAATAACAACTAAATATTTGAAATATCATCAACAATGTAGACAAGTTAATAATATTAACATTATATAAGATTAAAAAAAAACAAAAGAAATTATAAATGGCCTAAACGGTGTTGAGCCGACCCGCTTTAGCCCTCAATCTTGCAAGACCAACCAGTGTAAGCAATCGCCCTTGCAGGACTGGCCCGTTTGAGCTATCGACCTTGCAGAATTAGTTTGTTTAAGCCCTCAACTTTACAGGGCCAGTCCTTTTAAGCCTATTTTCTATTTGAATAAAAAAATTTTAAGCCTGACCCCCATAATTTTTTAGCTATAAATAGATTGGCCTGATAGGCTTGATTCATTTTTTCGAGTCTATGGTTGTGTGGAACTATAATGGCAGTAGGCCAACTAATTAATATGGAGTTGTGTGAAGATTTGAGCTGCCAAGCCGGTAGAACGAAACTATAAGGATAGCATGTCAGCTGATTGGAATCCAAAAAGTGAAATTGCTAGCGTGACAAGTTTTTCTAATGAATATTTAATATAATTATTACCGGGACCTAGTCTCAAGACATCCGATAAAACTGGCAACCAGTCATTGGGGAGTCACCCATTTTGTACACAGTATGGCCCTCATTCATTAGCGTCTTTATTTCCACATGACCCAATTAGTTCGATCACGAGTATAATCAACGAATAGGGATTAGTTTCCTTTTAAGGTGTTGAGAAGAGGAGGTAAACTCGCTCTTAATTATGTTGCTCAATATACATGGTATATTCATATTTTTGGGTGACAATCTTATAAAAAATACAAATGAAATTTGTCTTTTTACAAACAAGCATAGTTGCATGAAAAACTAATTATATTGGTTGCCATTATATTTTTGATTTTTTTTATATTTGTTACTTTTTAAATCCACCAACGTCAAAACGAACATTTAAATTATGAAGCGCGAATATTTGTTTTTTTTTTGGGTAATAAGCGCCAATAAATTTTATTGAAACGGGGGCGGCTTTCCTTTGAGACTCTGCTTCCCCCGCAAGTTTGCGATGGCAACGTTCCGAAGCCAACCCAAGGGGGATAATTCTGTAATTTTAATTAATCCCCAATTAAATTTGCTAACCTCCCGGTATTCTTGTCCTCGTCAGAATATGCAGCTCCCGTGAGCTTGCTGAATACACCCGGAGAGTCCATTACCATTTACTGCCAGATAGAGGGAGGGGCACTTGCGTAATTGACTTGCTGGGCTCAGTTCAACACCTATAAAACCAAATCTGCTTGGAAACCACTCCCTCGAAGGGACCCCGAAAGTAATTTACCAAAAACACAACTTCCCCGCCATTTGCCTTCACTCCTCAAAAGATCCTCCTCCCAATCTGACCTTCTAGGGCTCCAATTTCTTCATATCTGCATATCACCTTACCTTCAATTGAAACCCTATTTTCCCCCAATTCACCCGTAGATTTTTTGCATTTTACACTCCTTACCCTCCATACATGCTCTTCCAGTGTCTCCCAAAGACTCACCGGTTAATAAATCGATGAGTTTTCCAGGGAGTTCGGCCACGGCGGCGTTCAGCCAACGTGGCATCAGTTTGTCGAACACTATCCACTCGGAGGTTGCCTCTTGCTTGCCCTTGCCGTCGCTTCCGGTATTCTGCGGAGCTTCCGATCATGACTTCCGGCTCTTGGAGGGATCTAGGTTCTTGGACCGCGGTGAAGTGCTTGCACAGTCCGGTAAGATTGCCGAGTTGCTTCAGCAGACGGACGTGTCGTACTTGTAAGTATATTCTTCACTTCTCTTCCACATTTTTCAAAGACATGTCTTGCATTGATTGAGAAGTAAGTAGACGTACTAGGAAGCTAATTTGCTGCGGAATTTTTGCGCGTTAAAGTTCGCGGTTTTAAGCTGAGCTTAGTAGGATTCGAATTTTAGGTAACTGATTTTAGTGGTTGCGGTGCGATTTGACTTTTTTTTCTTGTGTTTTATGTTTTTTGGTTTTATTGTGGATGAACTGTGGAACTTATTCATGTCTTACAAAATTTGGTTGCGCACGTAAACTGAGCTGCTTGCATAATTAAACTGACCTTTGGCCTTACATCACAAGCTATCTGACCCTTTTTTTAATAAAAAAATTTATTTGAATTTTATTAATAACTAAGAGGCAATATAAAATTTTTTTAATTAAAAAAAAACTCAATTATTGAATGCTTATTTGTTATAAGTATTATTGTTATTTTTTTTTAATCTATGAAGAGATTTTATACCAATCAGCAAGGCATTTTTCGCTCCTGCCAGAGCTTTTGCCTTTTGGCATATTATCCTCCTATTGGTCATGTCCATTTTATTGTTTTCTTAGATTAATATGCATCTATTTTCTTAGGAGGATGGTATCATTGTCATTGTAATCATCATTATTTTGGGGTTACTGTTTTTAACATTATCAAATTATTTGATGATTATTTTGATTTGAGTAAATTTGTGTATGGTGTTTTATTCAGGAATCTAAGAGATGATGCCAAGGCTGCTCCCTATGGCTATGTTGAACCTCTAGAACTCCATGGTGAAGTTCTAAGGTGCAATCCCGAAGCATTTGAATGCCGTGCTGCAGGTAAACACAGTGCTTGATCTCTGTCCTGTACATCTTCCATGTAAATGAATTCAAATCTCAAGGCCAATAAATGTTTGACATCTTTGTATGAGACTTTTGGAAAAATTGGTCCAAGTAATATGTATAAATTAAAGGCAGACTGATGACACTGAAAAAGGCTGATAGTTAATTTAGGTTTCTCAGTCTGTGATGCCTATCTTGCACCAGAGTTTCTTTCTTTCTTTTTCCCCGTAGACCTTATTGCTTTTCATAAAATAATTTGATGGTGCTCTGCTTATTGTTTATTGTATTGTTCAAGTTTCTCAGGTCCTCTCAAGGAGCAGATCTCTGGTAGTGTAATACCTGAAAAGAGGCTCTTCGAATCGAACCTTCCTCATGCTAGTCAGATACAGAAAGATTACAATGCAAGCCAAAATCACCAGCCTCATAATTTTTCTACGAATGTATGGTAATTCTTGGCATATTCAATTGATGCTTAGATTCTTTTTTATTTTCTAATCTTCAAAGTGAACTAGCAGGACATTTCTATATTGTCTTCAAAAAAATCAAAGGTCAAGAAAAAAGGTGGAGA